TGAATAGTCATTTCTCCAAAGAAGACAGACAAGTGACTGATAAATAAATGGAGGCTGATATGAAAACCACAGTGAGATATTCATATCGAATATGGTTTAATAAAATAAAAGAAAATGGGCATTAGTGACAATGTAGAAAAACTGGAACCCTGATACATTGCTGGTGGAAGCAACTGCTTTCATCCATTCTTCAAAAAAGTTAAACAGAATAGCACATAATCCAGCAATTCGCCTCCTACAGATTCAAAAAAAATCTACAAAAAATTGAAAACAGGGACTCAGACAGATACCATTACTCACAATAGCCCGTGTTTTCTATCAACAGATGAATAAAGATGATATAATGTGTATGGTGGAATTATTTGGCCATAAAAATAGTTGATACATATATAGCACAATATGGCTGAGCCTAGAAAACATAGTGCTAAGTGATAAAGACATAGTGTAATTCCAATTAATATAAATTAGCCAATTAATAGCGAAAGAAAGGTAGAATAAAGGTTACCAAGAAGAGCAGGGTGGGAAGAATGGGGAGTTATGATTTAATGGGCACAGCTGAAAAGATGATAAAATTTTGGGTGTATGTAGTGGTAATGGTTATAGCAACATTGTGAATGTATTTAATACCACTGAATTGTACACTTACATTACAAAAGACACTTTTGAAAAAATGAAGGTAATTTCCCAGAGACACATGGCTTGTAAGTAATAGAGTTGGACCATATGACTCAGTCATCTGACTCCAGGGTCTCTTCTACCACTGCTGAATATTTCTGATATCTATCCAGAAACACAGTTACTGGCAATGGGAAGTTTTTAATGTTTTTGTGTATAAAGCACTTTGATATATTTGTGAGGCCCTATGATTTTTAGTATAACCATGTCCACTACTCTTCAAGGCTGAGTAGGCCCCCCAGAAGATCTGTCACTCTTTAGAAACAAGTGCTTTTGTACACTTGGAGTAAGAACTTGTGAGACTTAGAAGTCTCTAAAATTTTATTCAAAATGTGTAATTCAGTACCTCTCATTTATAGTTAGTAAGGCTTTAGTCATTATTAAATTCTCCCAGTAACTCTGTGAGGATGCTGTAACTGTTCGAAAAACTAGATAACCAGAAAGGTAACTTTTTTTAAGATCACATGGGAAACCAAAGCCAGGATTGGAGATTTATTTATTGACTACTTCATCATGTCATCTGATCTCATTACTCAGAGAATAACATTAATGTGAATGTTTTAGACTATATTATTTCATTAGTTCTCATAAGGTATTCATACGAAGTTATGTTAGTAAAAATCATACCATGTGAAGTTTCATACCTTCCTTCTCCCCCAGTTTTGTTTTAAAACAGATGTTTTATACTACTTAAAAAATACTCGGAAATAAACTATTATAAAAAAAATACTTGGGAAACAATTTCAGTGACTGTAATACTTAGCCATGGTGCTAATGTTGAGTACTTATTTTGGATCTAATTTTTGCTATTACAGAAAGAGTTGCCGTCTAGTGCATAAAGTGCTGTCCACACTTGGGGATAAGTTGCTCCAAAAAAGCCCTGGAATCTGTGATTGCGATTATCGATCTGGCTTTCCTGAAAGATTGGGCCAACTGTCTTTCCCTCAGTAACACTATTTGAGAAGATAACATTTGTTTAACATTGTTCTTTCTCATTTCTTAAATGTCTTTATTAATTATTTGGTGACCAGAAAATGCCACCTTGCCTCTATAATTTAAACTTTTACACTTCATTGTGAAAGCATCATTTTTTTTTTTTCCCATGTGACAGTTATTTAACAACCAGTGTTTGGAATATATCAGGGGTGGGGGATGTTCTGATTTTGTTTTTGCTTGACAACCAGTGATTTTGGGCCAAGGAAAGGGTGGAGACAAAAGAAATGGGAAAGCCCAGTGGGAAGGACTTGAGGGGCAGGGGTCATGTTCTGTTAAGAGGTTGAGCTTTATTGGCCTTTTCTTACTTTAAGCCCATCTTGCTTGAATGTTGTGAGCTGGGGCAAGGCCAGAAGTGAATTCTGACTCTCTCTTTCCTTAGTTTTGATCTCTTTTCAGAAGTTGTGCATAGGATTCAGAAGGTTTAGTGAGCCTTGAGCTTCATTCCTTGAATGGCCTCTTTGTAAGAGGGTATTTTGCTTGATGTTCACTTGTTTTAATGAGAAATTAAAGTATGTGTTTTTTTTTTAAAGATTTATTTATTTATTTGTGCATACAGAACTGGGGTACAGGCCAGAGGCTTCACCAGAAACAGAGTGGGGAACAGAACAGGCAGATCGACGGAGTACACTGCTGAGGGGAGCAGCGGGCGGGTCAGGAGAGGTCTGCCATGCCGTGTGGTCTCCTCCTGGGCAGGCAGGGATCGAACTCATGCGGAAGTAGCTTAAGCTTCTTAGTGCAGTGCTTTAACCCGCTGGGCCACCAGGGAGGGCCCTAGGGTCAGTCTTTTATGTTACAAGGCCAAATTGCATTAGAAATAGCCATGCAGGCTCCGGTCCTTCCATGCTCAAAGCATTCCCTTCACTATCCCACCTGCACAGGGGTCCAGAGGCCTATTGCATCGGTTACTTAATTGTAGATTAGCTTTCATATTGCAGCCTGACTTCCTCCTATGGAGGTGAAATCCAGGCTGGCAGTAGTAATTAGATCTCCAAAAAGCCCATCACAAAGCACGCAGGCTAGAGACACTCCTCAGAGCCTTTTCTGTGGAGGGCCTGAAGCTTCAGAGACCTTCATTTTTAGGGTACAGCACACAAGCTGATTGCGCTTTTCCTTCTGGGCATTTGTTTTAATTAAGCAGTCACACTGTTCTGCCGAGAGCTGCTTGCAGCTACCCTGGTTACTTGAGTCCCTTTCCTCCTTGGTCACTGATACTGCTTAGATATGCTATAAATAATAGCAGCAGAAAACCACCCGTTTCTGTGAACAGCCGAGTGGCTTACTAAATTGCTAGATTTTGTGAAACAGGGAAGTGCATGCCATGAGAAGTTCGACCATGGAAGGCTTCCTAGACTCTGGTTGACCCAAATTTTGAAAGCCTGACAGGACATTGCAGAGATGAGGTGACGAGAGAATTGTCCGTACTCCAGGCTGCACAGAGCCGTGCACCGCCCTCTCAGGACTCCCGCAGAGACATAAGGAGAGATTCAGGAATTCTGCATTGTGTCAGGTAGCCAACAAGAAGCAGAAAATAGGAACGGCTGACTGTATTTTCTCCTGTGTCGCTGATTCAGTCTTGAACAGGAGCCCAGCAGGACCCAGCAGGAGAGTCAGACAGCTGCACTCTTCCCCTGAAGGTTACAGCAGAGCTGCATCCACGTGGGTGATTCCGACACCCCAGGATGTCTCCAATTACCTGTAGAGTCTAAAACCAGGGGCTAGTGGTACTGAACATAGTCATCATTTTTTAAAGGAAAGGAGTGAAAAATTATTTTAATGAGGTATCAGAGTGGAAGAATCCTAGAAAAACTGAATTATGTCTAGATGCACAGTACTAGGCAAATGTATAATGTATGTTGCATTTTAATATACACATAATCATCTAAAGGTATCTGTAGAAAAGATGAAAGCTGTTGTAAAGCACTTCATCAGATAGTGTGAGGATGAGAACTGTGACAAAGCTAAAAGAAAAGACTAGGAGTGGGAATGAATAGAGCCAGATGCTTCCTGTGTTTGTAAACCTATACTCATGCGAAGTTTCTGGCTACAGACTTCAAGAACACTGTTCTTTACTCAGACTGGAATTACCAATTACATGCCCCTCTCCCTGCGTGTAGGAGTCAGCCAAGCAGGGCTCTTAGGTGGGTGAGGAAATAGCTGGTTAGGTGGGGCTACCAGCTTTTATGTTCTCTAACCCTGCCTCTATTAATTCATGTTTGTTTCCATCGGAAATAATGAACTTGGAGTGGAGCTTTGTGTTAATTAAAAGGCGTTATTTATATTCTGTTATTTCCCTTTTTTTTTAAGATTTATATATTTATTTAGGCATACAGATGGGGGTACAGGGTGCATGGGTGCAGGGGTGGTGAGAGGACTCACCAGAGACAGAGTGGGGAGCAGAACAGGCAGATTGATGAAGTACACTGCTGAGGGGAGCAGCGGGCGGGT